ATTCAAATGAAATAGAATTGAAAATCCAGCTCTTCAGTCATGCTGGTCACATTTCATGTGTTCAATGGCCATGTGTAGCTAGAAGCTACTGTATTGAACAGCACAGATAGAGACCATTTCCATCACTGCAGAAAGTTCTAGTAAATAGTGCTTTTTGGGACTTCCCTGGTGGCGTAGTGGTTAAGAATCAGCCTGCCAATGCAGGGGACACAGGTTCGAGCCCTGGTCTGGGAAGATCCCACATGCCGTGGAGCAACTAAGCCCGTGCACCACAACTACTGAACCTGTGCCCTAGGGCCTGCGTGCCACAACTACTGAAGCCCACGTGCCACAACTACTGAAGCCTGCATGCCTAGAGCCTGTGCTCTGCAACAAGAGGAGTCACCACAGTGAGAAGCCCATGCACCACAACGAGCTAGAAGAAAGCCCCCACTCGCCACAACTAGAAGAAAGCCAGCACGCAACAATGAGGACCCAATGCAGCCAAAAAAAAAAAAAATAGTGCTTTTCTAGTGAGGATGAAGAGGTATCTCATTATGGCTTTAATTTGTTTTAATTGAAGTATAGTTGATTTACAGTCTTGTGTTAGTTTCTGGTATACAGCACAGTGATTCATATATATATTCATATATACATATTCAGATATATATATTCAGATATTCCATTATAGGTTACTACAAGTTACTGAATATAGTTCCCTGTGCTATACAGTAAGTCCTTGTTGTTGTTTTAATATTCCTTTCTCATACTGTCCCTGAATGAATATTTTTTTGGGGGGCACCATGCCACATGGCATGCGGGACCTTAGTTCACCAGCCAGGGATCAAACCCATGCCCCCTACAGTGGAAGCATGGAGTCCTAACCACTGGACCGCCAGGGAAGTCCCTAGGTCCTTGAAGTTTATCTCTTTTATGTATAGTAGTATGTATCTATTAATCCCGAACACCTAATTTATCTCTCCCCCGTTTCCCCTTTGGTAATGTAAGTTTGTTTTCTATGTCTATGAGTCTGTTTCTGTTTTGTAAATAAGTTCATTGGTATCATTTTTTTAGATTCCACATATAAGTGCTATCATATGATATTTTTCTCTGTCTGACTTACTTCACTCAGTGTAAAAATCTCTAGGTCCATCCAAGTTGCTGCAAATGGCATTATTTCATTCTTTTTTATGGCCGAGTAATATTCCTACATAAAGTACTGAGCAAGTAGGAGGTGATCCCAGGAAGCCCTGGGAGGGGTGGAGAACTTAGATGGGAAGGAATGGAGCTAATACAGGATGCATGCATAAGTAGATGACAGCTATGGGTAACTGGGGCTCAGTCCCACTGGGGTCCCTGGAGACAGTACAGGGCACAACCTGAGTTGTCCTACCTAAAGGATGAGGGAGCTGGGGAATTGATCTACCAAATCCTACTGTCCTTGCGAGTGAGGGGTGAATGAGAGGCGAGCTTCAGGTGGGGGCCAGTAAACTCCCTACACCCAGGCTCACCCTGCACAGGGCTGAGCCTGCTCTGACAGCCAGAGAAAAATCCCACAGCAGAGTCTGGGATGTGCCTTCAGCAGCCTTTGGCATGTTGAGATGAGCACGAGGGTGTGGACATCTTCCAAGGCCCCCTATTCTTCTTAGGAAAGACTCCTCAGTGTCAGTTTCAAGGTCCAGCATCCCTTGCCTTCACCTCTTGGACCTTGTTCCACACCACACTCTTCACCCTCAAATTCTTCAAAGGCACCAAGCCGCTTCCACCTTGCAGGCCTTTCCCTGGGCCGCTCCCTGGAGCACCTTCCACCCCCTGTTCTCCTGGCCAACTCCAGTTCATCCTTTGGGTCTCAGCTTAGATGCCACGTCCTCCAGAAGCCCCTCCTGATGCCCCCATCCAGTTTGAACCCCCTGGTCCAGCTTCCTGCATCCTTCCTCTGCTCGCCTTTGGAGAAATTCTCATAACCATACTTATAACAATGATTTGTACCTGATAATAGCGTTTGTCTCATCTGCCTGCTCCCCCAAAGGTGCCTCACTGTGTCTGGGGCACCCAGCCTGGGGCCTGGTACACAGCAGATGTGCAATCTACAGGGAAACTCATGAGTGCCGACCTTCCTCTGTCAGGGGAGTGAAGTGTGGCCCGGATCACACAGCAGGGCCCGCTGGCATCCTTCCTGCTGCTTCCACAGTCCCCCTGGGGACCCCCTTGGCCCTTTACTCCAGAACTCCTGTAATTGAAAGCAAATGTTCCCTCCAGAAGTTTACCATATCTGCGTTCATCTTCTTCACGGGCTAATTTTATTAAAGTTCCCCAAAGAGAGAATTGTAAATTCATTAGCACGCATCTTGGACCAGACCCTCCTGTACGCCGGGTAAAAAAAGATTAGAAGTAAGCTGGGCCCGATGATAATGAAACAGAAGATGCTCAAACATAATTCTTAATTAAACTGTAATGAGATAAGAAGTCGTTGCCGTCTTGTGGTCCTGGCCTGAGTCCCCCATGTTGTCACTGTAGCTCCGTGATTTATGATTTTCCTCCCTCAAAGATGTAATTAGTTTTTTTCTTCCCACTTAAAAAAAAAAAAAAATCCAAAACATTATTTAGATTATTTAAAAAAAAACCTGGGCCACAATTGGGGGTTGTTTTTATCCTGGTGCAATAGTAACATCAATTTAGAAAAAAATAAATGTAGGAGGCTGAAGGAGGAGGGTTCAAGATGAGAAAATGCAGTGTAATAGCAGGAGACTGTGTCCAATTCTGCCCTGAGCCAGCCTCTTGGACTTGGGACAGGCTGGTGCTGCCACAGGGGATGCCCTTTCTTCTCTGCAGATTGGGATCATTTAGGGCCCCCTGCCTCCCTCAGAGCCACTTGCAGCCCCACGGTGCAGGAATATTTAGGGTCCACTTGGCTTCTGTCTCCTGGCCACTGAGCCCTGTGATTAGAATGGGCTTGTATCTCACAGGATTGTTTGGTGGCAAGTGACAGAAACCACTTCTGGCTGTCTTGGAGGGGATGGGATTGAGTGGTAGGATATAGAGGGGGACTTACAGAATGGAAATAAGGGGCACTCAGGTTTGCTGCATGGCCTCATGATGTCTCCCTCCCCTCCTGTCACCTGTTCCAGTTTCAAAGCCCCAGGAGAGGGTGATCCAGCCTCAACCCAGGACTGCTCCTCACACACCTTTGTAAGGGGTCAGGGGAGGACCAGATCCTTCACTGAAAGAGGGCATCATGGCACCCTGAAGCCACATGCAGCGAGAGGCTCCCTGAAGTGGAAGCCAGGTGCAATTAAACATGACTGCTTAGGTCCCAAATGACGACTCTGCTGTGAGACTTGCTGCAGGCTCTTTGAAGGGAGGGTTGTGGTGGAGGGGAGTGGTGGTCTGGGGTCCCCAGTCAGAACATCTATTCCTCAGGAGTGGGGTCATCACTGCCACAATGACAGGAATAATCAAAACCATTGAGCCCCCTTCTGTGCATCTGACACTGTGGTCAGTGTATCAGTCAGCTATTGCTGCATAACTAGTAATCCCAGAACTTAACAGCTTGAAAAACAATATTTCTTATCTCACAATCTCTGTGGGCAGGACTCTGGGTGCAGCTCAAGTAGGTGCCCTGCTTGAGGGTCTTACAGGTTATAACAAGGTGTTGGTCAGGGGCTGCCACCTCATCTAAAGGCTCAACTGGCAAGGAGCTGCTTCCAAGCTTCCTCCATGGCTCTTGGCAGGATTCAGTCCTCATGGGCTGTGGGACTGAGGGCCTCAGTTCCTTGCTGGCTGTGGGCCACAACCTGGTGTCAGTAGATTGGCATTGCTGTGTGGCAGGCAAACGGACCCAAGGTCAATTTGGTAACATGGTGAGGCAAGGAGAGTACAGTGTTTATTGTAGGTGCCAAGTGAGGAGAATGGGCAGTTCATGTTCAAAAGACCCGAACTCCCCAGTGGCTTTCGGGGAAGGGCTTTTAAAGGCAATATTAGGGGTGTGGGTTGTGGTGTGTATGATCAGCTTGTGGACCTTCTTCTGATTGGTTGGTGGTGAGGTAACAGGGTGATGTTTCAGGAATCTCAGTCATCAGCCTTCTGGTTCCAACCAGCCTGGGGTCTAGTGCTTGTGGTCAGCATGTAGTCACCATCCTCCACCTGGGTGGGGGGTCTTAGTTTCTGCAAAACAACTCAAAGATTTTGTGTCAGGTTGTTATGTATATCCCTTGAGGAGGAACGAAGACACTGTTTTATCACTGAAGTATTGTTTAAGCTATTATTACTTTTCTTGCTTGACTGTTTTTCCTTTGTTTCTGCATCCCCTCACTTCCCTAATTAATAACTGCTGTGCCAGCTCTTTGGAACTAGGGGAAAGCCTAGGAGACTAGAGCTTTCCCAAACAAGAAGCAGGGGACACAGAGGGGATTTTGTACCCAGGAGGGCCCTGCAGAGTCCTGCCAGTCTCAACCAAAACCCAGTAGACTGGCTTTGCTGTGCACCGGCGAGTGGACCCAAAGTCGGTTCAGTAACAATTCATTCGCCTATTCAACAGATACTTATTGTGCAACTACTATGTGCCAGGCCTCTGCTGGGTGCTGAGGACCCGGCAGTGACCAAGAGAGACCAGATCCCTACCTTTAGGCACCTCACGATCTAGTAGGGGGAGACCAACGTCCAATAACCACACACCGAAATAGAAAATCACAACTGTGAGCACCACTGGGAAGGGACAGCGGGTTAGGAGGGTGGTTTAAGGGAGATCGACCTGGTCTGGGGGGGTCGGTGAAGACTTCTGGAAGAAGTTTGAGCTGGGAGCTGAAGGATGCGTGTGGGGTATGGGGCTGGACAGGCCAGAGAGGAGTGTGCCAGACAGAGGGGACAGCTCGGGCAAAGGCCCCGAGGTGGGACAGGAAGAGGGGCTGGAGGGAGGCCCAGAGTTAGGAGTTTGCCTCAGGAGGCCCTGAAGGTTAAAAAAAGTAATTTTTTTTTTTTTTTTTCTTTTTTGGCTGCATTGCTCACAACTTGTGGGATCCTAGCTCCCTGACCAGGGATCGAACCCAGGGCCTCAGCAGTGATAGTGCTGAGTCCTAACCACTGGACCACCAGAGAATTTCCTTTTTTTGTAGTTTTACTGGAGTATAGTTGACTTACAATGTTGTGTTAATTTCTGCTGTATGTTAAATTGACTCAGTTATACATATATATAATTCTTTTTCATCTTCTTTTCCATTATGGTTTTTCACAGGGTATTGAATATAGTTTCCTGTGCTCTACAGTAGGACCTTTTTATCCATCCTATATATAATAGTTTGCATCTGCTAATCCCAAACTCCCAATCCATCCCTCCCTCCCCCTTCCTCCCCCCTTGGCAACCACAAGTCTGTTCTCTATGTCTGTGCATCTGTTTCTGTTTCACAGATATACTCATTTGTGTCATATTTTAGATTCCACATGTAAGTGATATCATATGGTATTTGTCTTTAAAAAAAAAAAAAGTTTTTTAAATTGAGTTAATTACTGGGACTTCTCTGATGGTCCAGTGGCTAAGGCTCTGTGCTCCCAATGCAGGGGGCCTGGGTTCGATCCCTGGTCAGGGAACTAGATCCCGCACGCCGCAACTAAGACCAGGTGCAGCCAAATAAATAAATAAAATAAATTTTTTTTTAAAATTGAGTTAATTACATAGCCTAAAACTCACTGCTTTGTACAATTCAGTGGTTTTCAGTATAGTCACAGAGCTGTGCAACTATCACCGGTATCTGATTTCAGAACATTCTCATCACCCCAAAAGGAAACGCTGTCCCCATTCCCTCTCCCCAGCCCCTGATGACCACAGATCCGCTTCCTGTCTCTGTGGATTTGTCTGTTCTGGACGTTTCCCATCAATGGAATCACACACTGTGCAGCCTTACGTGTCTGGCTTCTCTCACTGAGCATCGTGTTCTCAAGACGCATCCATGTTGTAGCGCGTGTCAGTGCTTCACCCCTTTTCATGGCTGAGTAATGCTGCATTGGAGGGTTATCCCACATTTTGTTTATCCATTTGGCATTGATGGACATTATGGTTATTTCCACCTTTGGCTATTGTGAATCATGCTGCTATAAACATTTCCATGTACGTTTTTGTGCAAACATATGTTTTCAATGCTCTTGGGTAGATACCTAGGAGAATTGCTAGATTCTATGATAATTCTACGTTTAACCTCTGGAGGAACTTCCAAACTGTTCTCCACAGTAGCTGTACGTTTTCACATCCCACCAATAGTGTATGAAGGCTCCAGTTTCTCCCCATCCTCGTCGATGCTTGTTACCGTTTTGTTTTGTTTTTTCTTTTAAGTTAGCCGTCCTAGTGTATGTAGTGTGGGTTCGCTCCCTGTGGTTCTCATGGGTTATAAGCCTGGAGGGACACTGGAGGTAGGAAGTCACTGCAGACAGAGCTCAGATCTAGTTGATAAAGCCACTGGGCTCCGAGAGAGGATGAAACTTGCAAGTGCCCCCAGCTCTCTGGTGTTCTCCTGCCTGGTGTCCATTGCGAGGGCTCCGAGGGTGGGTGGGAGGGAGGGAGTTAAGCCAACCCAGTCCTCCCAGGACTGGGAACCATCAGCAGGGCCCCAAGACAGCAAGGTTTGCTATTCAAGAGGCTCATTCAGCCGGAGCCCCTTTCTAAAATGGCTAGAGAGGGAGGGAGGCCCTGCTGCTCCCTGCAAACAAAACTCTGAGATGGAGCGGCCTCATTCCTTCCTTTGTAGGGTCCAGCTCTGCTCTCCGTTTGGGGCACTGCGGGGGTGGGGACAGCCTCGCCTGAAGCCCTCTGGCTGCAGACGCCCATTGTTTGCCCTGATTGAAATGCAAAGAGAAAATTAGAATTCACCAGCTTCCTTTCCCCTCTTTCTTCTGGATTTTAATGAATTCAGCGGTTACAGGCCGAGCAGGTGAAGAAAATGGCTTTTGAAATGTTTTTCAAAAGAACAATTTTTGTTTCCAGGCTGGTCCTCGCGTTCAACTTCATTCGGCAGAATGTTCCTCCAAAGTTTAAGGGTCTGGGCAGCTCTTTCCCGACCCACCAACTCCCTTCTCCTTCTGATTCACAAGCTGACTTAAAGAGCCACAAATTGTGTCACCTGTTTACGAGACAGATCATCAGGAAAATACATATATGGGAGAATATATTTGCAAAAGACACAGCTGACCAAGAACTGTTATCCAGAATATACAAAGAACTCTTAAAACTCAACAATAAGCTCACCTCAGACTCAATGGTGACAAGCTGAAAGCTTTTCCTCTAAGATCAGGAACAAGAAAAGGGTGCCCACTTTTGCGATCTCTGTTTAAAATAGTCCTGGGACTTCTCTGGTGGTGCAGTGGTTAAGAATCTGCCTGCCAACACAATGAAGAGTAGCCCCCACTCGCCGCAGCTAGAGAAAGCCTGCGCATAGCAATGAAGACCCAATGCAGCCAAAAATAAATAAATAAATTTATTAAAAAAATATATATATATGAAAAAAAGAACTAATATTGTTAAAATGTCCATGTTACCTAAAATGACCTATAGATTCAATGCAATCTCTATCAAAATTCCAGTGGCATTTTTCTCAGAAATAGGAAGAAACAATCCTAAAATTTATATGGAATCACAAAAGACCCTGAATAATGAAGCAATCTTGAACCAGAAGAACAAAGGTGGAGACGTCACACTTCATGATTTCAAACTGTATTACAAGGCTACAGTAATCAAAACAGTATGGTACTGGCATTAAAAACAGACATAAAGACCAGTGGAACAGAATGGAGAGCCCAGGGACTTCCCTGGTGGTCCAGTGGTTAAGACTCCGTGCTTCCATTGCACGGGGCACTGGTTTGATCCCTGTTCGGGAACTAAGATCCCACATGCTGCACAAGGCAAAAAAAAAAAAAAGAATGGAGAGTCCAGAAATAAGTCCACGCACCAATGGCTAACTCATCTTTGACGGGGGGCTAATAACACAGAATGGGGAGAGGACAGTCTTTTCAATAAATGGTTTTGGGAAGCTGGATGTCCAAATGCAGAAGAATGAAATGGGACTCTTATCTCACAGCACATATAAAAATCGACTCAAAATGGATTAAAAACTTAAATACAAGACCTGAAATTGTAAGAGACCAGAAGAAAACACTGGGGAAAATCTTCTTGACATTGGTCTAGGTGATGATTTTTTTCCATATGACCCCAAAAGCAAAAATAGACAAGTGGGATTATATCAGACTAAAAAGCTTTTACCCAGTGAAGGAACTAATCAGCAGAGTGAAGCAACCACCTATGGGATTGGAGAAAATATTTGCCAACAATAATCTGATGGGTTAATATCCAAAATATATGAGGAACTTAGCTCAATAGCAAAAACACCCAAATAACCCACTTTAAAAATGGGCAAAGGACCTGAATAGACATTTCTCATGGCCAACAGGTACACGAAAAGGCACTCAACATGACTAGTCAGCAGGGAAATGCCAATTAAAACCACGAGATATCACCTCACACCTATCAGAATAGCTATTATCAAAAAGCCAAGAGATAACAAGTGTTGGCCAGGATGAGGAGAAAGGGGAACCCTTGTGCACTGTTGGTGGGAATGGCAATTGGTTGCAGCCACCATAGAAAACAATATGGAGGTTCTTCAAAAAAAATTAAAATAAAACTACCTTATGATCCAGCAATGCTAAGTGGGTATGCATTGAAATAAAATAAAAACAGGATCTTGAAGAGATATCTGCACCCCAGTGTTCATTGCAGCATTATTTACAATAACCAAGGCATGGAAACAACCTAAGTGTCCATCATGGATGAATTGATAAAGACAATGTGGTGTATAAATACAATGGAATATTATTCAACCTTAAAAAGGAAGGATATCCTGCCATTTGGAACAACATGGATGGTTCCAGTCTTTTTCTTTTTGATGGTTGTTCAGCAGTTAGTTGTGATTTTGGTGTGCTCATGAGAGAAGGTGAGCTCAAGGTCCTTCTACTCTGCCATCTTGCTCCAGATCCCTGGAATAATATGGATGGACTTTGAGGACATTATGCTAAATGAAATAAGCCAGTCACAGAAAGATAAATACTGTATGATCTCACTTATAAAAAAAAGTTAAACTCATAAAAGCAGAGTAGAATGGTGGTGGCCAGGGGCAGGGAGGGGGATGGGGAGATATTGGTCAAGGGGTACAAAGTTTCAGTTATTAAGGATGAATAGGTTCTGTGGATCTAATGTACAGAGTGGCAAATATAATTAGTAATAGTGTATCAGATACTTAAGATTTACTCTCTTAGCAAAGTTCAAGTGTTCTCACCACACACAAGAAAAAGTAACCACGTGAGGGGCTGGACATGTAAATTAACTTGATTGTTGTAATTATTTCACAATGCAACTTGTATCAGAACATCACTGTTGTAACCTTAAATATATACAATCTTTATTTGTCAACTATACCTCAATAAAGATGTGGGAGGGGGGGCTTCCCTGGTGGCGCAGTGGTCGAGAGTCCGCCTGCCGATGCAGGGGACACGGGTTCGTGCCCCGGTCCGGGAGGATCCCACGTGCCGCGGAGCGGCTGGGCCCGTGAGCCATGGCCGCTGAGCCTGCGCGTCCGGAGCCTGTGCTCCGCAACGGGAGAGGCCACAACAGGGAGAGCCCCAAAAAAAAAAAAAAAAAAAAAAAAAAAAGATGTGGGGGGAAAAAAAACAGTAAGAAAACAAACAATCCAATTAAAAATTGGGCCAAAGACCGGAACAGACACCTCATCAAAGAAAATACACAGATGGCAAATCAGCACATGAAAAGATGCTCCACATTGTACGTCATCAGGGAAATGCATATCAAATGCACAATGAGGTATCACCACACACCCATTGAAATGGCCAAAATCCAAAACACTGATAACACCAAATGCTGGCGAGGATGTGGAGCAACAGGAACTCTTACTCATTGCTGGTGGGAATGCAAAATGCTCCAGACATTTTGGAAGGCAGGTTACAAAACTAAACATACTCAACTACACGATCCATCCATCGTGTTCCTTGGTATTTATCCGAAGGAGTTGAAAATGTATGTCCACAAAATAATTGCACATGGA